TATCCAGGCTCATTAAAGTAGGGCTTGGTATTCAAGATCAGTCCTTGTATAGAGACCAAAACTTGTAGCATGGTGGACACACCTGGGAGCCACTTCTCATTTTTGTTCCCACTCCAGGTGTTAAGAAGGCTGAGGCATACTTTTCCACAGTTGTACAGATTTGGATTTAATCGAAGGCCACCAGAGTGGTAGTAGACGTTCTGCATTATCAAATTCCTAGTCAGGATGTAACCAGATATAAATAAATGCCAGGCAATCAAAATCAATCACATACCGGTGGTGCATTGGGATAGCCACTGGGGAAGAAAACATCAAAGAAGAAAAGACCATCATGGTAGGGAGTACCCTCTGCCCCAACAATAACAGCTCTCAAAAGATCCATTCTTGTCTCATAAACTCTAACAAATATTGTATCTGTGGATGTGAGAAAAATAAGGCAGGTGGGTTGAAGGTTCAAATATAAAGCGAATTATATTATGCCCACTTAGGCAGATTAAAAATGCAAGTGCACCAAAGTTCCTATTGTATCAAACATCAATCCCAACTAACCAATTACTTACTCAGCATCATGAAAATGTCATAGAAAAAGGTTTGACAAAGACGAATAACTAACGGATGGGAAAAGTTCACTACCATAACATTCAAAAAAGTTGTTTGAAAAAGAAAAAAAAAACAGAAAGGCTCACCAGGCAAATCCTTTTCCAGGATCTTCCACTCTTCCTGAATTCTCTTTGCCCAATTCTTTGGTGGCTTCAGAAAGAGTAAAAACAAAACACTATAAGATATATAAATAAAAATAAAACTTAAAAAAATATGTATGCTATCATCCAAAATTTCACCTACTTCTAGCGCCAAAGAAGAAAACTCACCTGCTTTGTTGAAGAACCACGGCTAGTATAGTGATGGTCTGAATGATCTTCAATTGTATCAAATTGTTTGAAACTCTTAAACTTCCCTATAAATTCATCTATGTCCATGCTAGAAAGTTTCCTCGTGGGGGTTGTTGAAACACCTACTGGAACAACATTATTTTGAGTTTTGGGATTAAAAACCCAAGGAACACCTGCTACTTCTCCAGGAGGATATATCGAACCCAATGGATCATAAAAACTTGAATTAGATGGCATAGTATTGGATTTGGAAAAAGGATCCGGCCACCAAGGAATGGGTGGTGGTACTGGAGGAGGATTATAAGAAGTACTTGAAGCTTTTTTCTTTAAAACTTCACGAAAATATGCCATAGAAGATGCCTCCGATCCAGAAGCGAGCTTCATTGCATCAAATTGATTTGCAGAATTATAATTTGTTGAACTACTTGAAGAAGATGGCTTCTTTTTACGCTGGAAAGGTCCTAAAAGCCATTGAGATTTTGATGATTCTACTCCAACTGGGAGATTAGGAGCACTCCCTTGGTGTTGCAAAGCAGGTTGTTTCTTTTTACTTCTGGCAGCTTTTGGTAGTTTCCAGGGTGGTGATAGAGGTGGGTGAGGAATATTGTCAATTTGGGTCTTCAGTGACCAAGGAGACAGAGGTGAGTTGTTCCCTTGAAGACCAACAGCATCTGGTTGAATTTGGCCACTCTCATTGACAGAACTACTTCCAGAAACTGAATTTACTTTACTATTAGGAGGATCCGAAAACCAAGGGACAGGTGCCTCTATTCCAGGGGGAATATCTGCATTATCAAAATGCGCTTGCAATAGGGCATACTCGTCAACATCCATAAACTCATCAAGATAATAATCAGTGTAGTCATCATCATCATATGATACATCAGAAATGGGACCATCTAAATTGATTAAGTTAGCTGGGGCAAAACTCTTTGTAGCTTCAATCCCGTTCCCTGATCCAAGGAATTCGATACCAGAAGGGCCAAATAAATTATCGACCATAGGTTCCTGAAAATACTAGTAATATCATAATGTAAATATGTTAAAAGAATGTTTGAGCTACATTTAAATATTTAACATTAAAAAAACAAAAACAAAGACAACAGTCAACAGATAGTGTCACTCAAGTTAATCATAAACCTTAGCTTGATGATCATGGTAAGCATCAGAAGAGTTTTGTATTCCCTTCCCTTTAACACTTCTATCAACTCTCTCGTCAATAAGCATTGCAGCAACAGAATCTTCATCTTTGTCAATTTCAATCACATCTTGCAGAATAACCTAAGAAAGGATAAATTATAATTAGAAATATCCTCTCAAGAAAAGAAAAAATTCAACAAACAGAGGCATCCTATGAAATAACAAGAATTTTCAGGAGTATAAACCATTGAAAAAGTCACCAAAAGGTGAAAGCTACTAATGAAGAGAAAAGAAAACAAATAGGAAAGCAGTTATAAGCAGAGAAGTAGGACATGCAGACTAACTTACTAAGATTAAAACCACACTAAATTGAAGACAAAAGAAAATGTTAAATGCTTGTTTTCTTTTTAATTCCTTAACCATCATCATGGTTGGAAAAGATATAATGTTGGTATATTTTATATGATCAGCACATGTTACTCATTCTTATAAATCCATATATAATGTTGGTATATTTTATATGATCAGCATATGTTACTCATTCTTATAAATCCATATATAATGTTGGTATATTTTATATGATCAGAACTAGCAAAAATTGCTGCACAAAATAACTAAGAGCAATACATCGTATAAGCACAAAAAGCCAAACTACTACCAAAGACACTTGGGCACAAAAAGCCCTCAAAAACAAATAACAGGCAAGTGCTAGTGCATGTCAAGAACTTACAAAAGAAATTTTCAAACTGAAGGCAACAGCTTTAGTCAAGCATCCACTATGTATACGATACAGTCTGAACGCATTTGAAAGCATGATAAGCATAATGATGAACTAACCACATATGTTGCATGGAAGTTTAATGCCCTCATTATAATCTTCCCCACCACCAACACCCACCCTCTAAAAAGGAGGTGAAAAAACTTACGAGTGTGAAGAAATTTCCCAACATTGTAAACAATAATGGGTGTGGTGATTGAGCTCCAGACAATGTTTTGCCAATAGCCAAAAACCTTAATACTCTCATAAAATTGGGAAGAGATGAAATCAAGTATATTATTACATTGCATAGGAGACCTAAAGCCCGAAAAAATTTGCTATAAGCCCTAAAATAAAATTAACAAAAAAAGAACAGAAATCTTTAAATTGGGCCATTTCAGTGATTCTACACCAATGTTCCAATCAACTCGCAGCATCCTTATCAAATTCAAGTAGTCTGAAACTACACATAGCCTAGAAGCCTTGAATGCATACCCAATTGAAATAATAATCGAAACGGTAACTTGATCACTCAAAATAGAGTATCGGCTTCCAAAGAACACAAATTTCATCACAACGACATGATCGAACCCGATAAATCACAATAACGTCGAAGATTGAGTTCATGATTGATAAAACAAACAAATAAGGAGGAGAAATAGTCTGGTGAACGAACCTCTTTGTTTTTTTGCAACTTCGGAGTCCGATGAATCGGAGGCGGAATCTCGACGACGTCGTCGGAATCCATACACGGAGAACTGCTACGCGGAAGCAATCGCTTCCTGTTTCGAACGAGAGACAGTTAAAGAAAGTCAGGGAAGAGAAAAAAAAAAACAGAGAGAGAGAGAGAGAAAGGGAAGAGTTTTCTTCTTTTCAAAATTCCGAGTGAGAGAAAGATGAGAGAGAAAAATATAGAGAAAGAGAGAGAGACTTGGAATTCTGAGGGACGTTTTCGGGCAACGGCGGCGGCTCCATTGGACCGGCTACTTGAAATTCACCGGCTCAGCGGCTAAGCAAATCGGCGGCGGCGGCTCACCGGCTCGATTTAAAAAAACCGGGTTCGGCAAATGATTTTTGTAGAGAAAAAGGCAAAAACATTATGAGAAAAGGTGGTTTTTTGCCAGCCCGCGGCTTCGCGCCTTGTCATGGAAGATCAACATAGATTTCGACGACAACCAAGGTAGTGTGTGTATGTGTGTGTGTATGTATGTGTGTGCGCGAGTGTCCCTTTCTCATTAAATAATTGCACACGTTCTGCGCCTTTAATTACCAATTATACCACTAACCTAGCACACGGTCTTTGGGCTCGTCTTGGTCTTGGTCTTGGTCTTGGAGAGCTCCTGCCTCTGCTTCCGCTTCTGCTTCTGCTTCTTTGTGGGCCCCACCTACTGCGACGATCAGCTTCCACTGCAAGTTTCTACCTTCTGCAAATAACCATCTGGCGCGATTGCCGTGAATTTGGTTCACGGCGATGACGTGGCGGTTTTGTAGTGGGAGAGCAGTGAGTGTTTAAAGAGTGGGGTTGGTGTAGAGGATCCAAACCAAACGTGGAACTTAAGCTAAACGGAGTTTTTTTATTTACACAAAGATCCCTGATGTTATTTCAAATTACTTTCACAATACTCATAATTTTTCACTTACAAATTATTGATGTCAGTTAAAAAATTTCCTCAAATGACAATATTAACCATATAAATTATATTGCACACATTTATGAGGTTAATTATTGATGTCGGTTAAAAATTTCTTCAAATGACAATGTTAACCATATAAATTATATTGCATACGCTCATGAGGTTAATTTTTTTTAAATAAATCATCTTTTTTTTTTCAATGGGAAATCATTGAAATGGGACGTTAGTGTAATTTCTGAAAATTTAAGGAGTTTTATGACCATACAAGAGTATCAGTGTAAATAACTCGATTTTTTTAAAAAAAAAAAAAAAATTACTTGTTCTGCAGAAAAGTAGGATTAGATTGTTACCGAAAAAGAAGGTTGGATTTTGATGGAGCAACCAAGGGTTGGGATCGGATAAGGATATATACGTTGGTGTGCGAATCATAAGCTGTATAAGAGAGTCCACGCGTGCCACGAAGACTCGGATAAAGTTTTGCTTATTTGGATAATTTTTTAATGATTTTCAAATCAATTTGGTTCTAATCCTTTGCGGCCAGTTATGGAAAGTTGTTGAGACCAAAAAGAATAAGGTAGGTTGAAGCTGAATTGAATAACAAATGCAATTCTTCATTTTATTATTTTTCTTTTTCTTGCGTAACAGAGGTGGAGAGGGATTCAAATTTGATACCATTCTTATAAAAAACCGACGAAAATAACGAGTTCAGTTGGTATTTAAAAGCAGCAATACCCTAAAGAGTAGTTTGCAGCCAAAACAAAGTTTCATAATAAAAGAGTAATTTATCTTACATACATGCTGCAAATAAATGAATGTATTTAATGAAATGAAGATTATTATTTCTTAATAAATGTTGATTCATTGTACTTTATGCACCTTGCTTTAAGAGTACAAGACCTTTTTCTTTTCTTTTTCTTTTTTTGGTCATTCGATAGAGAAGAAATGGGGCAGTATTATATAGGGCTGTTTCAAGATTATCTCGTACGTGAATCCAGCCAGGAATATTATATAGTGCACCTGGATTTAAGAATGCAAGACCTATTAATGGAGATATGTATTGCAGACATTTACTGAATGAGATAAGGATGTCGTTATAAATGGTTTTTTATTGTCAATTTGTGGTTATAAATGTTGTTTGGTACCGCATACACTCCCGAGTCGAATGTAACCGAAACCATGTTTTCTAGCCAAAATTTAAGGGTCTGTTTGGTTCACTTATTACAAGTTTAGGAATGAATACAAGATTGCATTATGTTTGGTAACACATGTTTGGAAATCTGACCCGTGATGCATGGGCCTGCATAGGGAAAAATGAAACTCTCAAGTCCCCCCTTGGATTGAGAAATTCTAGCTACTTTCTCCTCGTATTTCTAATCCCAGTGAAACGAATTTATTTATTTTTTCTTGACAAATAGCCCTCCTTATAAATAAAATTACTATTTGTTTGACTACAAAGAATATCAAAATTACAGCTTTTTTCCTTCAAAACTCTTGGTTTTTTCTTTTCTTTGGGTGTAAATGGACCTCGAGCGTATGGGCCCAATATGTTCATGATATCTGGCCTATGTTACTTTGAGAGAAACTATTTGGTTGTCAATCTAATCCATGTTTCATGCTCTTGTTGAGGACCACCAAAAAAAAAAAGACCAACCAAGAAAACAAGAACAAGTTATGCATTACCTTATAAAATTGTGTAATATTGCTGAGAAAGTTAGCAGAGATTTATAGAGTTTATAAGCATTCTGCAGCTAGAAGTATTTGGTTATGGAGTTTCTAAGTTAGGTAACCTATGATCAACATTTATTAGTAAAATAAGTTCCAATTTATTTAGGAAACTATGGCTTATCCAAACAAGCTTATTTTGTCACCCATTATCTTTACAATGGAAAAATGGCATGTCTCACATTTGGTATCGAAAGGGTTTACTTAATAAAGAAATGGACTCGCAAGGAACTTTTAGCTCAATTAGTTAAGAGCAGTTACCCTTACATATAAGGTTTTGTGTTCGAATCCCTCGTCTCCAATATCGCTTATCAAATAAATAAATTGACTCTGCTTAAGTTTCTTGTCAAATTCAAAAACATTTCTCACTGGTTGATGATCGGTGCAAAAACACAAGTCTATATTTTGGATGATTTGTAAACCTAACACATCAAAAAACGTACATCGTTTTAAATTTGTTATCTTAAGATAAACCTTTTGAATTGATTAAACAATATTAAGATTTTCATATTAGTTTTAGTTATTGAGCTTATACGTACATTGCTAGTTGCAATATGTCTGTTGCGAATTTGAAAGGTATGACATACAACCCACTTTATACATAGAAGTAACAAAAGCTTCTATATGTCAATGAAATTAAACTTGTTCAAAGGAAAAATTGTCGATATATATATATAATAAAAATAAAAAGAATTGGTCGATTACTTTCATAAAACAAAAAGAAGTTTGTCTATTTTGGGAAGGACCCTCGAAATTGAAAGGCATTAGTTTATCAACCATTGAAGTCAAGGCATGGCCTCAAGCTCATATGAGGATGAGTGGGTTTAGTTGCTCATGTCAATTTTCTATTTTCCATTGACTAGGACCAATCACATTGAAGAATCCAAGCCATGATTTTAATATAGCTTTAGTGGTCAAGTTTATTAGCTCCTTCTATATTATTAACCAATAATTAATGAAATTGCAAAATTAAGAAATTTGAAATATTTTCCCTTTAAATTTCACAATTTTTGACTTTGACATGAGAAGGTGGAGTAGCAATGAGGAGGACAACTGCCAACAAGGGATGGTTGAGTTGTAAGGATCGTTCTCTTCGCCATCAAGGTTTATGTTCAAGTTTCGTTGCTGACAATTTGGTGAGTAAGACCCCCTTTGTAAGTCCTCAAAGAGGCCTTGGTATGCCCTGGTCTTGGGATGGGGTAGTCCCCCCTCCTCCTAAACTTTCGTTTACCACCCAAAAAAAAAAAAAAAAAAAGGACAGCTGCTTTGATATCTTTTCCTACATGTGGATAAAAGATGAACAAAATGTGAATGCAATGTGAGGCTGTACTCTTTTGAAAAATGTTTGAAAGCAAAGAAGTTGGCTAATTGGAGAAGCAATTGCTTTGAAAATCACCAAGATAACTACATTTTTGTTTTCTTTATTTAAAGTAAAACGATCACCTCCAAATAAATATCAAATAAAAAAAGTTGGTATTTTCTTAAAATTTATGCTATATTTAAGTCATTTCCTTCATATGCCCTCCTTAATTTGAATAGTAAATTTGGCTTACACCCTTCAAATTCAATTTGCCATACCTAAAACCTTTCACTTTTTGTTCCTATAAATAATACCCAATTTGTATAAGTAAAAATCCATGACTAAGATCCAACTCTGCAAGTTACCTAATTATGCATAAAATCTGATTTATTGTACTTTTCAGATTCCAAAAATACCCCCAACTAAGCCATTATTGTATTTTGTATATTAATGTAGGAATCAATATGGAAACAGTTTTTAATTGGATTGTATATAATGACAGATGTTGAATTTGGAAAGATCTCCAAATGTTTGTAATGGATGTAGGAATTAATTTTGAAACATTTTAAAAAAAATTTAACAATAAATTCAAATTTGGGTAATCGGTTTGTTTAATAAAATGTTTATGTTATTTTCTTTTTATGAATTATACATGACTAATAATCCACTTTATAATTGTTTATGAATAAAACTATACATACTAATTATGTTGAAAAAATAATGTACCTATTACTTGTTTGTTTTATGAAAAATATAATTTACCTAGTATGAAAAGTGTACATAATTATCTATTCCAATATACCTACGGTAAATAATATACCTATATTTTATATGTATATATTTATATTATATTTTTCATAGGTACATTATTGGATATGTAATTTACAGATTTTTTTTTTGGTTTGCAATTTTAGGGGGCGAGATGTGAGAGGGAATGACAACTAAAAGAAATGGGGTGATTGATATGCTATTAATAGGGAGTATATTAATTACAATTATGGCAGTTAATGAAATGCTTGAAATAAATTATAAATAAAATATGAAGTTTAGTGGCAATGATGTAAAAATATAGAAATACTACGACCTCTTATATCCTACTAGTCATTTAAATTTGAAATTGGGTTTTACACATAGATTTATAGAGTGATGGGTATATGTTTAGGAAATAGAAAATGTAGGGATCTATATTGGGCAAAGCAAACAAAATTAGTTTTTCCGACTAAAAAAACAAAATTAGGGTTTGTGGCAGAACTTTGGTCTGCATAAACCCAAGTTAGGGACAAATTGCCGACTTGGTTTTGTTTCTTCCAAGTTAGTTTGAAGCAAATATGTTCAAGTCTCCATTGTATGATGCCAAGTTTGGCAACTACGTACTCTAACCCTTGGATGGTCAAAACTCGTAGGGAATTTGTGCTTTCTAGTAACCTTTTAAAATGCCTTTCGTTTTGTGAACTAATTCTAATCACGATTTTTTTTTTTTAAATGGCTGAAAAAAGTGCGATATTATTCTGCTACAAATTAGGTTGATGCCATTCATTTTCTGCTGCAAACGTACTTACAGTTTGTAGCTAAAGGAGAATAACTAGGACGGAGAGTGCCATGCCACATGAAAAGTTAGGT